TCTCATAGATTTGGGGTGGTTGTGTTTTCATTTTTATTTCTCTCAAGGTATTGTTTGATTCTTCCTTGATCTCATTGTTAAGTAATATGTTATTTAGCCTCCATATGTTTGTGTGTTTTTCAGTTTTTTTCTTATAGTTGAATTCTAGTTTCATGCCATTGTGGTCAGAGAAGATACTTGATATGATTTCAGTCTTCTTAAATTTATTGAGACTTGTGTGGCCTAACATATGGTTTATTCTGGAAAATGTTCTGTGTGCACTTGCAAATAATGTATATTCTGCTCATTTGGGTGAAATGCTCTAAAAACATCAATTAAATCCATCTGGTCTAATATTTCCTTTAAGGCCATTGTTTCCCTATTGGTTTTCTGTATGGAAGATCTATCCATTGATATTAATGGGCTATTAAAGTCCCCTATGACTGTAATATTGTTGATCTCTCCCTTTATGTCCATCAACATTTGCTTCAAAAATGTAGGTGTATTGGATGTTAAATGTTTACCAGGCTTATATCCTCTTGTTGGATTGATCCCTTTATCATTATGTAATGCTCTTCCTTGTCTCTTATTATATAGCCTTTGTTTTAAAGTCTATTTTGTCTGATATAAGTATTGCTGCCAGTTTTACATTGATTCACAATACCGTCCAGGTTTTAAGTGTACAACTCAACAAAACATCATCTGTGACTGCATTGTGTCTATCACACAAAGCAAAGGCTCTTCCCATTCCCTTATTTCCTTTGCCCCACTTCTACCTACTCCCATCTTCCTTTCCCTCTGACTATCACCATACTGTTGTCTGTGTGTACATGTCATATATATGTAGGTTGTTGTTGTTTTTTTGTTTGTGGTTTATTTTTGTTATTTCATTTATTAAATCTTTCACCTTCATTCATCTAGCCCCCTCCTCCCAACCTGTTCCATGTATCCATGCCTATTTCTATCTTGTTCATCAATTTAGTTTGTTCATTAGATTGCACATATAAGTGAGATCATATGATATTTGTCTTTCTCTGACTGGCTTCCTTTTGACCCAGTGATCCCACTATTGGGAATATATCCAAAGAAACCCAAACCACGAATTTGAAATAATATATTCATGAACTATCTTTTCCCATCCCTTTACCTTCAGTCTACCAATATGTGTCTCTTACTCTGAAGTGGGTCTCTTGTAGTTAGCATATATATGGGTGTTGTTTTCTTATCCATTTAGCTACCCTGTCTTTTGATTGGAGCATTTAATACATTTACATCTAAAGTGATTATTGATAGGTATGTAGTTACTGCCATTTTATTATCCATATTTACATTCTTTATTTGCTTTCTTAAAGAAATCCCTCTAGCATTTGTTATAATACTGCTTTGTTGGTGATAAATTCCTTTAGCTTTTTCTTATATGGGAAGATATTTATCTCTCTTTCAATTTTAAATGATAGCCTTGCTGGGTAAAGTAGTCTTGGTTGTAGATTCTTGCTTTTCATTACTTTGAATATTTTGTGTCAGTCCCTTCAGGCCTGCAAAAGCTTCTGTTGAAAAATCAGCTGACAGTCTTATGGAAGCTCCCTTACAGGTAACTACTTTTCTCTTGCTGCTCTTATGAATCTCTTTAACCTTTGCCATTTTAATTATGATGTGTCTTGGTGTGGGCCTCTTTTGAGTTAATCTTGTTTGGGACTCTCTGTGCTTATTGGACTTTTATGTCTATTTCCTTTGCCAGGTTATGAAAGTTTTCTTCAAATAGGTTCTCAATCTCTTACTCTTTCTACTCCTTCTGGTACCCCAATGATGTGAATGTTGTTACACTTGATGTTGTCCCAGAGGTTCCTAAACTATCCTCATTAGTGGCGGTGAACACCTTTTCATGTCTATTGGCCATCTGTATATCCTCTTTGGAGAAGTGTCTATTCAGATACTCTGCCCATTTTTTAACTGTATTGTTTGTCCTTTTGATGTTGAGTTTTATGAGTTATAAATTTTGGAAATTAACCCCTTATTGAATTTATCATTGACAAATATCTTCTCCCAATAAGTAGTCAGCACATGTCTAGTGACTGTTTGGTTGTTCGGTTTTTCCACTGTTAGGTCTATTTGCATATTAGTCTTTTATTGTATAGGATATAAAAGGCTAATATGCTAAGTGTCTGACAATCCGACCAGTCGCTATGATGCGCACTGATCACCAGGGGCCAGACGCTCAATGCAGGAGCTGCTGTGATGTGCACTGGCCACCTGGTGACGACAAAGCAATTCTCAGCTTCCCCCAAGTGGGACACAGGCTCCGCTACCATTCCGCAGTGACAGCCCACCAAATCACAGCCAATGTTGCCAAGACCCCAGGGCGCAAACTGTGGCCCACAGCCCAGCCCAGCCCGGAAACAGTAGCTGTGGGTGCCGGGTAATAACATCATGTAGCAACACCCAGCTTTCTCTCCTTATTGACAGGCCATTTAACAATAAATGGCACCGCGGACCTGGTGCCCACAAAGCAACACTTGGCTTCCCCCAAGTGGGACACAGGCCCCGCCACCACCCTGGAGTGACACTTGACTGAATTGCAGCCGAAGCTGTTGGGATCCCACAGCTCAAAATGAGGCTCACAGCCCAGCCCAGCAACTGTGGCTGTGGGCAGAGAGTAATGACGTCACATAGCAACGCCTGGCTTCCTCTCCCTAGCGACTAGCCTCTTTGGAGTTTCTTCAGCCTGGAAACATGACTTGGATTATAGCCAGGTGGAAACATTTTACGCTGTAACCAAATGTCTGTGAAGCATTTTCCTGTGCCTCATCTCATTTGATCCTCACAGAAATCCTGGAGTAGGTAGATAGGAGACTCAGTGGAATCCTATTTTCTTTTTATTCGCCAGAAAGTGGAGATTTAGAAAGTTTAGAAATGGAACTCAAAAATGACTTCAGGTTTCTCACTGCGCAAAATATAGTCAAACACTGCTGCAGTTAAATATTTTACCCTTTGTTCTCCCTGCGTGATCTACAATAATCTGCTTTGTGTTGATATTTACTGCTGTGTTGCTACAATTACCTGACAGAAGTTGGGATGCTTCACTGGGCTGGAAAAAATTTAGCTACATCATAAAACAGGTCTAATTAAGCAAGTTTATCTATACATAGAAAGCTCTCACTGGCGCCAATTGCATAGGTGTGTTTCGATCTGTCATTGTTGATCGTGAATTTGGTTGACACTTCTATTATAGAGAAAGGGCGAATAGTGATATTCAAATATTTCTTCTAATTCATTTCCTTTCAATGTGCACAAGTTCATACACTGGGCCACTCTAGTAAATCAATAAGTAAATGATAGTAAATTCAATAAAGTGGGCCAAAGACTTAAATAGGTATTTCACAAAAGACTAGACAAAGGCCACTAAGTATATAGAGATGCTCAACATTATTACACCTGAGAAATGCAAATTAAAACATCATCACACATCTATCAGAAAGGTGAATTAAAAAATATTGACAAAAACAAATCTTGACAAGGATATAGGGCAACACTGAACTCATATAAACTGCTGGTGGGTGTTTAAATTGGTGACAGTGCATTGGAAAACTGCTTGGCAGTACCCAATAAAGATTTATCTATCTATTTCCATGACCCAGTGATTTCACTCATAGTTACGTACCAACAGAAATGCACTCCTGTGTGCACCAAAAGACATACATGTAATCTTCCTGGTAGGAGTATGGGGAGTAGCCAGAAACTGGAAACAACTCAAATAAAATTAGGGAATAAATTAAAAGATATTTAACCACCAAGCAGTGAAAATGAATAAACTATAGCTACAATGAATTCCTCCTTCTGTCCTATCCCTGCTATGTCCCAGGGCCACATTCAATACAGACTCTAGTTTATTCATTATTTAAATTGTCCTATGTAGCCACTTCACATCGATGAGCTTATATGCCTCATAGTTCTTTAAGGAGCTAAAAATTCCAAACAGAGGAGGGCTGCAATTCCAGTTAGCCAGAAGCCTAAACCCAGTCTCAAGGGGATTTATGCTGAGGTCAAGTAAGTACCCTGCCCAAACTCCTGAATCATTTTAGCTAAAGGTCACATAGGTTTCTTCCTCCTCCTCCCACCCTCCTCATTCTTTTTACACAACCCTTTAAACACGTAAGTCATCCCCAGCGTGAGGCAGTTTGTGAACTCTAAGGAACCAGGCTGACCGAAGGCAGCCAGCCAGCTGTGAGGAAAAAGAAATTACTTCTCAGCACAGCCCCCCTGGTGGTGTGAGTCCCAAGCTTGCAAACTACTCAACACTGCACACTAAAGACAGCCATCTATTCCTTCCTTGGACAACTGTGGATTCCCAGTATCTGACCAGGAAATAGCTCATGTGGAAAGGTTCAAAGCAAAAGATTTTACAAGACTACCCAGTACAGCCGAGCAGTTGTTAAAGCACAGGCTGTGAAGTGAGACCACCAAGGGTTAGTGTCCTGGCTCCACAGCTTATGACATCTGACCCATCACCATCCCAGGTTATATGAAGTGAAATAATACAACTGTGCACAGTATTCAATAATGACAGGGATTTAAAAGTGAAAGGCAAATGGTTTATAATTTCAAACAGTAAAAGGTAATCAATAGGTAAGATAACTGATTGATTTCCCATGAAACAAATCTTTGCAGTAACCTTAAAGCACAGATACCTCTGAATATCTATAAAATATGACCAAACCATTAATTTAATAAAAACATTAAAAAATCAGCTAAAAACACTTTTTTCCTTCTAAGTTTGACAAATACAAAGTGGATCACGTACATGCAATACCAGTAAACGAGAGGAAAAGTTATCAGTCACCACGAAGTGCTGCTCAAGAAGGCCTGTTGCGTGCTCTTATTTTATCCCCATGAAGCTTCTTATCCCTTTAATCTACTTTTTTCTTTTAAAAAAGAAAAACTGACCCATGACAAATGCTTACCAAGTCCATCCATTTCCAAAACAGAAGACATATATTTAAATAAAGGCCTCACTGCACACCAAAGGTAAAACAAATGCTTTTATTGCACATTTATAAAATCTGCATAGTGGTATCAAGTGTTCTTCCCTCCCACAATTCCTTTAATTTGAAAATTCCGTTAAAACACAATATCCAAACTGGAGCCTTTTAAAAATGGCCAACAGGAGATATTTCTCTAAATATACACATAGATTTTTTTTTTCTTTTTACAAACCCACATCCTTTATTTTTCCAAAACAAAAAGGGAGAGGGCATCAAAATGTTCTTTTGGGTCAGCAGCAGCCTTAGACATGTTTCTGACAATTCAGGCCCTCGAAAATTAAATGGTTAACAATCATAAAAATGCCATCTTTAACCGTCAGTTTGATCTCTGTTTCTATGGGCCTGTTTTTGTTTTGTTTTGTTGAGGATGGTAGTACTGGGAGGGATGAGTGAAACAGGTAAATGGAAATACAGCCAGTAACATTGTGGTAAGTTTGCATGGTGACAGATGGTTACTAGACTTAGCACAATGATCACATCGTGGGTATATAAATGTCGAATCCCTATACTGTACACCTGAAACTAATATAATATTGTATACCAACTATACTTAAATTAAAAAAATAAAATAAAGACTCCCTCACCAAAAAGAACAGGATCAACAGTAGGAAACACCGAGAGTTTACATACATTCATTTTCCCATTTAAAAAAGAAAACCACACAAACCCACTACCGTTAGTCAAGTTTCACAATGTTATTCCATCTAAAGTCCTTAATGCTTTCCTTTCTGTCACTCAGGAGGTTTTCTGGTTTAATTAAAAATATAAATAAAAGAGAGAGGAGAAAGGAGAGGCAGCGTTCTTCTGACTTTTCCGCCTCTTCTGGCCACATGACCTTGTATTCTACCCACAGGTGCAAGGGCGGTGGTTTATCAGTAACCCGACTTGCCATCCTGCCAAGAGCCAGGCAAGGTTTCTATTTCTTATCTCAGGCAGTTAAGAATTTTCAAATGTCATCTGTAATGAGGAGGCGCTGTTCATCTGGTTCAGGTTCCGATGACTCACCCTTCTATTCTGTCAAAAATATGGATGGCTGAGGGCAATTTAAAAAGCGGCAGAGGCTTAGAAAAGCACACGCATTCCCGTGGGTAGAAGAGGCCTCTCGGGTCTCCCGCATAACTCAACACCCCCCTCGCTGCTCCTGCCTCTTTCAGGAAAGCCGCGGCAGTGAGTCTGCTCCTGAAAAGGGCCGTTTTATTTCCAATCCTGTTACACACACAACATGGTTGGGGTCTGGATCTGGGTCTTCCTTTTCACCTAATTCCTCTCCCAAGGTAGACACTGGGCAACAGACTTCTGTTCAATGGGCAGGCAACCAAGACCAGGGCAGGCCCTGAACACATGACCGCTTACTTCACGGTCACAGCTGAAACCCCTTGAATCGACTCCATGACGGCTGCAAACCGGCTGCAAAGGTCATAGGGAGAATTGGGTCGAATAGTTGGAGGCTCCTTCAATACAATGATTTCTGCAGAAGGATCTAGAAGCCTGGGTAGAAATTCCCCTAAGCACAGCTGCAGATTCTCTGTGGAGAGAAAATGATGGTTACATATACCGCTAAGTAGAACTCCAGTGAAAACTAAGTCTGAAATTCTATGGGAAGGCCCTCCAGACAGCCCACTGCCCAACCGCAGAGCATTGCTCTGGCCAACGAACAACAGATGGTGACGCCCTCAGGCCCAACCTGGAGCAAAGACGGACTTGTCAAGTACACCAGAGCTTTAGGCAGAGCTGCCCGCCACCTGGCATATGGAGGAACCACACTGTGCTGACTTCGTTACTGACAGGACAGACCTTCCAATCATCCTTTTAAACTTTGAGAAAGCAGATGTAACCCTCTGTGCCATAAATATAAGGGTGCGATTGTCTTTCAAATGATTAAAATATACAGTGTGTGCACAGCGCACTAAATACAGCCATATATCACACATGGCCTACACAGAAATTGAAGACATTAAAAGGAAAGTCACACCTACTAATTACAATAGAATTTTCAATAAATACTATAAACTTGAGCACTTTTACAAGTCAATAGAAAATATATATATATACATATATATATATTATAAATATATTTTTATTGATTTCAGAGAAGAAGGGAGAGGGAGAGAGATAGAAACATCTATGATGAGAGAATCCTGTACACCCCCTACTGGGGATCGAGCCCACAATCCAGTCCTTGACTGGAATCGAACCTGGGACCCTTCAGTCCGCAGGTTGGCACTCTATTCACTGAGCCAAACCAGCTAGGGCAGTCAATAGAATATCTTTACATCAGTGAGAAACTAACAGAGAAGATTCATATTAGAATATATACCAACTTTCTAAGTCTATCAAACTCACCTAAAAATAACTAGGCTCACTCCCTAAAATACTTGGGACAAGCACATCAACTGGTTGCCTCCTGCATGGGCTGGGGCCAGGGATCGAACCTACACCAGAGGTACGTGCCCTTTACCAGGAATTGAACCCTCAACCCCTCTGTCCACAGGCTGGCGCTCTAACCACTGAGCAACTGGCCAGGGCGCAGCATGAATGGATTTTGATTTTTAAACTATGCAATTGGAGTCCAGATTTTGGCAACTGAAAAGTCATAGAGGTCGGACACTCCTGGAGAGCAGTGATGTTTCACCCAGGGCTTCCTGGTCGTCTGGAGACGCCTCAGCACCACAGAGGAGGCAGGGAGGTTAGAGGAGCAGAGGCCCCACCCCAGGAGAGCAGGTCCACTTCTCACTCCCTAACCCCAGGGGCTCCCATAATCCTTTGACGAAGTTTGGCAACATGTGCTATAGAGCGAGCCCACTGTAATTTCTATAATTCCCAAGAGCCTTAGAGATTACGGGGAGTGCTAAAAGCAACACACCTGCAATATCTTGCCCCAGGTAAGAGCACCAGTGTTTTCTCATGACCTCAATGGCATCCAGGTCATCCTTGGAGATGTCGTTATTGATGATGAGGTGAATGCAGGGAATGATCAACTCATTCATCATATTAATGCCCTCTGTTACCGAGTGGTCATCATTGGTTTCAAAAAGAGAAGCCGCTTTGGCATTCAGCTCCTACAGATAAAAGAATGAAAAAAAGTCTGAAAAGATAAATAAGAACTTTAGAAGATCCTAACAAGTGGCTGCCAAACTACTGCCATTGGAATTGCTGGTGGAATCTCTACAGCAGCGGTTCTCAACCTGTGGGTCGCGACCCCTTTGGGGGTCGAACGACCCTTTCACTGGGGTCGCCTAAGACCATCCTGCATATCAGATATTTACATTACGATTCATAACTGTAGCAACATTACAGTTATGAAGTAGCAACGAAAATAACTTTATGGTTGGGTCACAACATGAGGAAGTGTATTTAAAGGGCCAGAAGGTTGAGAACCACTGCTCTACAAACTTACGTTGCTCTTCCTCCACCCATTAGCTGCTGCCATCGGTATGCTGGGCACTGGGACTTGATAAAAGCTCCCAAGGTGATTCTTAGGCAGCTAAGCCTCTGACCCAATGGCCTAAACTTCCAAGTCAAAATCGTGCCTAACACCTGCTTCCACTAAAAGTTGTTCTCAACCTTGGCTGCACATTAGAATCACCTGGGAATCTTTTTAAAATCCTAATTTCTGGGCCTCATCCTCCGGAAATTCTGTTTCTTTGTTACTAATGTTGTGGCCCCACTCCATAACAAAAATACAGAATTTCCGGAGGATGAGGCCCAGAAATCAGGATTTTAAAAAGATTCCCAGGTGATTCTAATGTGCAGCCACGGCTGAGAACCACTGGTCTAGTCAAAGGCCATCTATCTCCACGGAGCATCAGAACCACCTGCAGAACACAGGAGGTTGCGCCTGGGAGGGGCCTGTGTGTCATCCTCGCGGGAAAGTTCCCCGGGTGACTGTGGCGCACACTGAAGGTGGACAGCCAGCCTGGGAACCAGCCAATTCACCATTACTGCCTACCTGTGGCAGCTGAGCAGGACAGGCCAAATGTAACCCGTGTTTGGTGACTTAAAAAATAAAAGTGTAGCTCTAATAAAACTCAGATACACCCAATCCACAAGCCTCTCTTCGGCTTCCAAATGCCCCTCCACATCTACAACCAGTACAGAAATCAAATGTAAACCAGAGCAAGAAGCTCTTGAGCTCAGTGCACGTCATGACTTAACCTCCTCCGCTTGGTGGTAACAGGGCAGTGGTGGAAAGGCTGCCTGACCCCCGGGAGGGAGCGATAAACACAGCACACAACCTGCGGCAAGCCTCCCTGTGGTTTTCTGAAGGGCGAGCACTGCTTCAAACCTGGGGTAGACGGAGGGGTGTCGGTCTGCCTTTCCTCGTGACCGCCAACTGTGAACAGGCCAGGAGGCCTTCCCTGGAGTGTGACAGCGACAACACCGGGAGGGCAGGCCAACTCTTATGGCTCCTAACTTAAAAACCTGGAGTCTCTTTAGAAGTCACTAGAACTCTTATCTACCAGCAAGGAACACAGAAGAAACACTGCATTCCTTCAACACACATGTATTACATGTTTACTATGTTCCAGACACAGAGAACATAGCTAAGAGAAAATCTGTGCCCAAGGCCTCACAGGCTGGTAGGAAAGCAATGCGATGAGATGCAGGTACACGTGAAGAGCACAGACGAAGGGGTAATCCATTCTCATCTCTTATCTACCAGGGACTGAAGAAGAATGATATCCACTAAGCAATTTTAAATAATCTGTTCCAATGTTAAGCTCCTCTTGAGAGTTTGGGAAAATGTGAAACCTGTTGGAGACTAACTCCCTCCTGGCTTGCAGGACAGTGGTAAAGACAAAGAGCAACAGAGAGCTGAGGCGTTACAGACAAACACACCAGCAGGCACTTCCTTCGGTACAAAGCGATCACCGGCTCCTTCACGCCGCGGCGGGGCCCCTTGGTCAGCAGAGTGGCGTTGCTCTGGTAGGCATACACCAGGTAGGAGAGGGCTTCTTGGTACCTTAGGAAACGGCAGATAACAACAGCTGAGTGTCCTCCAAAACCCAGGGCTTCCACCTCCCTGCCCCTCAGACAAGGACTTCCGTGGCTGCATCATGGAAGTCTGAAAGGAGGGGCGGCACCGGGGACTGGGAAAAGCCTGAGGGCCAAAGACGGCAGCCAGTCTCAGCTCCTCCACAAACTGGCCCAAACCCAAGGCCAATCCTGAAAGCTCCCTGGGCTTGGGCTTCCTGACGAAGACGTGGACTAGATGCTCACCGAGGGCTGCACCAGCTCGCAGGTTCACTGAGTTCACCTTCATTTATCACAGAGGAAATCTGGCCACTACATCTCTTTACTAATAAATCTATCACTGCGCGAAGGATGAGCACAGTGTGACATTCAGAGCAACACTAAGGGCAATACTGGGACAACAGAGGCACGCTGCGCGCGTGACAGGGTGGTGTATGCCCGTGACTCTCAGCATTCCTGGGTGGGGATCGATAAATCACAGAGTCCCGACCAACAGGCTTAGCAACATGGAAGGCCAACTTACTTTTCTTTCTGATAGAGTTCCAGGCCTGTCAGGAGATACACAGACACCTTTCGAAACAAACTATAGTCTTCATGCCACCTCTGAAAAGGGATGACTGGTGTTAATGATTACGACCACAAGCTACTTCCACACGGCCCACCATGTAAGTTTACATTCTGTGCACATGTGGCCAGGCACAAAAGCAACAAACACAAAGATTTTCACATAGAAACATATTCAACATTTAGAACAAGTCTACTTTGACCTTAATTTTTAATGCCCTTTTCCTTCCACGGTATTTCATATGAGCTTTAGAATTTACCATCTTAATTTGCAGCACCCACGTCAAAGTCACTCAGCTCTGGTTTCCTCTCTAGTTCTGAGGAAACCATCCAGATGTGAGGAAGATGAAAGGACAGGCCGCCCTGTCACAGGACAACACTCAAGCTCAGTGAGTGTGGTGGGCACACCTTAGCTGGTACATAACACTGTTTTACGTACAATACAAAGCTTTAAAAAAAAACTTGTAGTTATATATGCACTTTAATGCACAGAAATTGAATATCCAATATAAAAATATTATTTCCAATGTAGGAAACTGTATTATTTAAAACAAACCCAAACTGTGAGTTCAAGAATTATATGCTTAGAACAGGGCTAAAGCACGTATTTAAGAAAAGGAAGGCTGACTCATCTGATGAAGATGGAATAAAGAAGCCTGCTCTGCTGAGGGTAAGAAAAGATCATTCATCCATTCTTATTCAGGTGGTTTTTTTTCGGGGGGCGGGACAAGTCACAGAATTGTAAGTTTTGCCTCAGGAATGAATGCTGCAGCCTTTGCAGATTGGAAGAGAAGACCTGACCTTGTACTCCTCCATATTCATGTCGTCTGGACCGATCTCCTTCAGCTTAGCTTGCGCCACCTTCATGATGCTGATGGACCTGTGTGGAACAAGGTTCAGGAAGCAGTGACAGCAGCCAGGGCACAGCTTCCCATCAGGGAAGGCAGCCACGCCAGACCCAGAAGGAGGGGGTTCACCTGAGTAGCCCCTTCTCACCTTTCATCATAGCTCAGATTTTTATCTGCAAACTGTTCCAGAAGGGTCCGCTCCACCACCCTTTTGGGTGCTTCGTTCTGGAAGAAGTAGACGAGCACGTGCTGCAGCCGAGGGTCGCTGTGAGAGGAGGGCGCCTCCTTGGCCAGCTGGTAGAGCCTGGAGTACTCTTCGTGGAATGCCTAGGAAGACAGCTGGGAGTCAGAAAGGGCGCACCGTGGGCTCCTGCACAGACACCGATGCCTAAGGTAACAGAGGTTCCCTAACTCTGAGATGACGCCTAAGAAACCCTCACTGAGGAATTACAGAGGCAACTATGGAGTCTGTAAGGCGTGTGCATTTCATAAGGGATGAAACTCTTCTAGCGTCCTGGCATCAAAGACATACCATATTCATAAGAGACAGTTTTTCATAAAATTCTCAGAAAAAAATATTTAGTTTTAATTATTTCAGGCATATCCTTGAGTCCCAGGGACCCAAATCTTAAAAATCCACATAAATACAATTTATTCACGTACCTTAAATTTTATTCAAGTACCTTAAAAAGCATGGCCCACTTTCTCATATGACTGCCCCTAAGTACAAAGGCAATGTCTCATTAGCTTTACTGCCAGACATTCCCTAAGAACAACAGCAAGCCCTCCCGGCTGGGTGACAGATGGCGCTGCTCACCACGGCTGCGTCAGTGCCAGGAGAGGAGGAGCGATCGGTCTGGTGGGCAGCTTATTCATTAGTTAGGCAGGAAAGAGAGTTTTATGCTTTACTTCAATGAAAGACATCTTTAATCCTATTGTTTACCAACTAATAGAATTACTGCCCCACTATTATGATACCTGTGATATAAGGAGGAGAAATTAAAAAAACGGAGATACCTTTATAAGCCCTGCTTCAGACCCATCTCGGTCAAAGGTCTGACGGGCTTTAGCTATGGCCAGGATGACCCCTTGCATGGCAGGGCTCAGCATCACCTACCACAAGAGGGCACAAAACAGACAAAAAGGAGAGAGGAAAGGTTCAAAAGAAGAGCATGAAAAGACAGGGGAGCAGCCTGCTGAAGAAAGCATGGCCTTGGTCAGCATCTACTGCCGGTCAGGTCCTACACCCATTCCTGTGCACACGGACAGCACTGCCCTCTACACAACGTCACGGTCCACACACTTACTCCTATGCACACGTACCGCCCAAGACAAGCTATTCCTGTGCACCCTCTGCAATGCACAGATGACTACACATGCATGTCTACAACTATCTGTTATGGCACTGCTCAAGGATCAGCTGAGTTAGAGCTCTCGGTGAGGAAGTGTCTGAGGTGAGGATACAATTTAGTTCTGTAGTTTGGGTGTATGTCCTAAACACACAAATATGTTAGACTTTCACTAGGATGAACAGGGCATTTAAAATAGTCTGGACACCAGGGGATACACAATGTGACTTTATAAAATGAAAACCTTTCAATAATTTAAAACTATTATCTCACAGGAAAAAACAAATCTAAGGGGCAGGATTCATGATAGTTTCTGTGCAGTGACAACTGTGAGGAGCACCTCAACCACGTGGGATTCTACAGCTTCTTCCTAAAGCTTTAGAATTTAAAACAACTCCAATGTACCTTGGTTTGGCTCACTGTACCTCTGGAAATTTTACATGTGGAGGAAAAACAATTAATACTACCAAAGACAAACACTTAAAAAGCAGTTTTTGTCCCAATACCAAACAAGGGACTAAATTCCATCTTTCTGAGCCTTCTAAACGCTGCAGTGGCCCCATAAACATACACCTGGGTAGACTTATACAGGGAGCAGTGCACAGTGGGAACAAGGCTATCTTTGTGAAAACAGTAACTAAGGTCAAACCAGATAGGCCTCGTGTCATCTGTTTCAATAAGAAAATGTTACCCATCGCCGAACACCTTCAAGCACATGCAGTGACAGGAGAGGGGGTAAGACTGACAACAAGCAGCTCAACCTGCCCTTGGCTCTGTACCTCCTCATCATATCCATCTGCATCGGCTCTAACCAGAATCCTCCCCACACTGGGAATCTCGACTTCAGACACCTCAGAATGAGGCGGGGCAGCCGAGTCTGCATCATGAGCCTCTGGGGGCTGCGCAGACTGCTCTGCAAAGCCTGTTTCCGGGGGCAGGGGATTCCTGGGTTCAGCTTCCTTAAGCCGCAGCAGCAGAATGGAGAGAATGAGCAGAAAAAAATGGAGAAATTAAGAGGGAGTGGTTAAATGCAGCAGAAACACAGAATCACAGAGTGTGAGCGAACTGTGGAAATTACTGCGGAAAGCCGCCCTCTTGAATCGGGGCTCCCTCAGTCATCCTCACCTCACTCAAGGCTGCTTCGACGCCGCTCTTCTCATAGGCATGCGCGGTGTTTGCAATGGCCTGGGCGGTCTGCTCCTTGACAATCACAGCATGCTCGGACGACAAGCAGCGAACCCCGTGGGCAGAGGCTCCTGAAGGCTCTGATAAAGAGTTGGACACAGAAATTAGTGTCTGATGATACGTAATGTCTAGAACGCTCTGTAAAGGCAAGCAGGATGGACACAAAGTTGAATGTACAACCTTTCTAACAAACCTTTAAAAAAATCTATGCAAGTTTCCCTAGAAACTGACTACACGGAATGGCTCCTTCAGCAAAACCACACTGATGATCCTGTAAAATTTAATGTGCTCCTCCTGACTGGGTCAGATTCCTTTATGCCAAGGTTTCCTACAAACAACATCTGTTAGGAAGATGGACTTTTTAAAAAATAAATTTATATAGATATATTTTAAGTTCTTGAGCTTTGACACATTTACATTTGCATACAGCATTACAATTAATACTATTATAAATTTTTTTTAATTTATAGGCATAACATTGGCTAATAACATTATAAAATTTTAGGTGTATAAGATTATAATTCGGGAGAAACCAAGATGGCGGCATAGGTAAACACCGGAGTTTGCTGCCTCGAACAACCCACTTCAAAAATACAACTAAAAGACGGAACGGGCATCATCCAGAACCACAGGAAGGCTGGCTGAGTGGAAGATCTACAACTAGGAGGAAAGAGAATATCATACCCAGACTCGGAGGAGGCGCAGTACTGAAGTGAAATACTAAGGTACGGAGTGCGCGTGGAGCGGGCTGGCGGCGGAGGGCGCAGTTGGGGTTTTCAATCGGGAGGG